TATTTATAATAATTTTTAATATTTAATAGCTTTATTATTAATAACTTAAAGGCTTTTAATATTATATTATATTATACCTTTTATTTTAAAAATTATAACTAATTTATCCTATAGTTTTCTTTTGTTTATTTATTTTAAATAATTGAAATAATAAATCTTTTATTAATTATTTTACAAAGATTTAAATTATAAATGCCGCGAAGTAATTTTATAACGTTTAAAACCTTAAAGATTTTAAATTTAACCAATCCATTTAAAAACTATTTTTATTTTTAAAACTTTACTAATAATAATTTAATTGTTAATAATTTAATTCCATTTAATTAATAACTTTACAATTCTTAAACCATAAATATAAACCTTAACTTCTTAAAACTATTAATTAAATCAATTAATATATTTTAACTTTTTTAAAACAAACTTATTTCCTAATATATTTAACCAATTATTATTTTATTATAAATCTACCTTTTAATATAATTAATTCGTAGGCATTTTATAATAAATCTAACTATTTAATCCTTAAAAATAAACCCATTTTATTAGAATAAGTAAGTAAAAAGATAACATCTTTAAAATTACCACATTTTTAAGAAAACATCCTTCCTTACCCGCAGTATAAAAACTATAATAAAATTAAGTATAATAAATATTACTTTATATTAAAATCTTTAAAATAATTGGTATTAAATATAATAAATAATTAAAATTAATTTAATATATAAAAAATTTAAATAAAAACTTAAAAAATATAACCTTAAATAAATAATTAATATATATAAATTTTGTTAAACTTTTAAAACAATAAGAAAATATATATCTTTTATAATATTATTGCTAAAATAAAAATATATAATTATAATTTATTAAATAAATAAAATAATAATTATATTATTATTATAAAACCTTACTTTATTATTACTATTAAAAATCTTTTAATCCTTTAAAAACTTATTTATAAAAATTATATAACTTTAATTAAATTTAAAACTATCATTAAAATTATAAAAAATCTTATTATAAAATATAATTATAAACAATAATATTATTAACTATAAAAATATAAAATTAATTATTAAATTCTTAAATTTATATATATTAAAAATAAACTTTACCCCTTAAAACTTATAAACTCTACCAATTTATTAATTAATAATATTCCTTATAAATAAATAATTATATATTTTATTAATATTTAAACCAAAAATCCCAATATTATATTATATTTTAATAACATTCGATATATTTATTAACAATATTAAGATTTGGAACTAATAATTGTTAAAAAAATTATAGGATATTATTTTATCCAAATTAACCGCATTTTGATAAAATTAATTTTATATAATTTAAAATTTTATAAAATTGGATTAATTAAGTAAATTTAAATATATACCTCGTTACAAATAACTTAACCTATTATAAATTATTAAACTTAACCGTTTATAAACTACTAAACTTTTTAATTTCCTAGTAATTTTAATAAAGATTACTTTGTTACACGAAAATAATGATATAATTAACATTAATAATAACAGAAAAGGCTATAACGGTTAACCTCTTGTATTACCCCCTAATCTTATTAATATTGATAAAAATGGAAAACAATAAATTATTAAATATATTATAGTTTTTTAAATAATATTAAGTTTAATATCAAATACTATTAATAATTTCATTATTAAGATACAAAATAATTAACGTAAATAACGTATTATAACAAAATAAAAAACGTAATTAAATAAATTTAAAATTAAAAATATAAGCATATTTTACCCTAACTTAAATAAATCTTTTAAAACCAATAATACAATTATTATCAATAAAAATACTGCTTTTTAAAATATTAACCTATTTATTAACGTTATATAACAAATCAAAATAAATAAAATTTATAAAATAATTATAATAATTTATATATATAAATTATACTAAAGAAAAACTATAAATTAATACATTAGTATACTTTTCCAAACTAAATAAAACATTATATTTACTAATAACAATTATATACTTAATAAACTATTTAATAAATTTCAAATAATATCAAAAGAAATTTAATAAAAGTTTTAGATTATAAAATATACCGAAACTAACTATTTTGTAGGTAAATCTATTTAAATATAAGTTATAAAATTAATATAAACCTATTAAACATTTTATATAAATAATAAAACCTAATAAATAAAATAAATATACCGGAGCTTTAATTCCAACCTTCATATTATAATTTTACTATTTATTAATTATATAAATATTAATAAATATATTAAGTACATTACTAAACGTAATAATAAATAACAAAAAAATATAATAAAAAAAAGAAAAATTATACCTAATAAAATTAATAAATATATTAAAAGTTTAAAAATTAACATTAACATAAAGAAATTATTAATAAATAATATTTATAAAATTAATAATAATAATATTAACCATAACTTATTTTAATAATTTAAAAAAAATAATAAAAATAAAAGTAAAAAAAATAACAATCACGTTAATAAAAGATAACGTAACAGTAAATACCAATAAAATAATTAATATTACATATATAAAAATGGTGAACTGGTGCTGGTGTATCAGGTGACTTTGACCCTGATCATGTGATCATATTCTTAGTATAAGTACCATTTATGGTCGCACACACCCATTTTACATAGTATCATCCACTTTTAATACAAGTCATTCCTTTTCCTTCATCAGTCATCATCTAAAAGTCCTTGATATCAGGTCTAATAAGGCTTGATCCAAGGCCAAGACGTCTAAGTCTTGTTCAATATATATAAAAATAATAACATTTTTATAAAAATATATTTTTTGGTATTTATAAAAATACAATTATTTTAATAATAAAAGATTATATTTTTGGAATAAAATTATAAAAATAAGAAAATTTTTATAATTTTAAACGTATAAAAATATATTATAAAAATATTATTTATTTTCATATTAAATTAAATTAAAACGTTTGAAATCTTTTAAAAAGAATTTATAAACTTTATTTTATTATATTATTAAGATATATTACGAATAATATTTGAGAAAATTTATATTTTATTTAAAATATAAATAAAATAAAAATAATATATTAATTTAAAATATTATTTTTATAATATTTTTATTTAAAATCTTGATATAAATTAAAATTTAATATTAAATTATGAAATTAAAAGTTGTATATTTAATATAATTTTAATTATATAAAAAATTAATTATTATATTAATTATTTATAAATATTAAATATAAATAAAATGAATAATAAATTTATAATAATATTTATTTATTTATTATAATTTTATTTAAAAATATATTATATATTAAAATAATTAAATTTAATATTTAATATTTTATTAAAATTATTAATAATAAGTAATTTTAAAGACGATGAGGGATAAAAAATAAGATAAAAATTATATTTAAAAACGTTATAGAAGATTTTAGATATATAATTATGGAATTAGTTATTAATAAAATTTTTAAATTTTATATTATTAAAGATTATAAAAAGATAAATAATTATATTAATTATAAATTATATTTAAATTGGTTAAAGTAATTAAAAAAGATATTGTTAAATAATATAAATATAAATTAAAAAATAAATTTATATATTATATATTTAATATAAAATAATAACGTTTAATAATTTTATTATTTTATATTTAAAACATATTAAAAATAATATATAATTAATAATACCATTTTAAATTTAAATATATAATATATAATTTATAAAATGTTTATATTTAAAACTTATTTAAAAAAGTGAAAGAATATATATAATATTACGATAATTATTTAATTAAAATTTATATTTAATTATTTATAAATTTATATTACGGTTTAAAAATTTTAATGAGATTACGTGATAATAATATCATAATAATATCATAATAATAATAATAATGTAAATAAAATAACTTAACTTAACTTATTTTTTTTATTTCCATAAATTAAAAAAACCTTATTTTCTTTATTAATATAATTTTAATTTTTTACTTATAATAAATTTTAACATTTGGTAGTTTTATTTTATTAACGGTTTAAAGGCTTTTAATATAATATTATATTATATTTTTTATTTCGAAAATTATAATTAATTAATCTTATGGTTTTTTTTAAACAATTAAAATAATAAATTCTTTACTAATTAATTTACGAAAATTTAAACTATAAATATTGTAAAAACGTATATTATACCGTTATTTTACATAAGATTAAAGATTTTTAAGTTACTTAATATAGCTAATTAATTTAACAAAAGGTTATAAGTCAAACCACCTTTATTAAAGCCACTTTAATAAAAGCCACCCATTTCCCATATAAAATCAATAACTTCGGATGTTTATAATTAATTTAAAAAAAAATAAAAACATAAAATCTCTTATATTTTATTTTTTCGATTATTATAATAATTTATATATATTTTATCATATTTAAATTTTAATATTTTAATAATAAAACAGTAAAGTATATTTTTAATATTATTTTTTAAAAATTTTAAATTTTAAATTTTATGTAAAAATTTTATTAAATTATTATAAAACCTTATAAACGCTCATAACTTCTCAAATAAATAAATTATATAATTCGCTTTAAATTTAAAAATTATATTAAAATATTCCTTATTTAATAATATAGATTTTACATTTATACTATATTAATTGGTAAAGTTATAAGCAATAATATCCCTTAACAACTTTACATATAAATTTATATATATAATTGTTAATGTATACTCTTATATTCTGTATACTCTTATATTCCTTTCACCACAAATATTAGCCCTGCCATTTCTTCAAATTTTTATACCTGATGAGAATTTAATACCGTATTTAAAATCAAAGACTGTATAATTTTATCTATTTTCTTAAATCAAATACAGATATGCGAAATCGTTGATTTTGTATGGGAAATGGGTGGCCCCCACTAGGGTGGCCCCAGTAAGGGTGGTTTGACTTAATGATAAGTGAATTGTTAAGTCGTATATCTCTGGCGAATTGCCAAAAGTACTATTTACTTTTCAACCTTCTCGAATCTTTCACTTGACATGTCTTTCTGTTGTTATAAGTAAAGTCCTCTATTAATCACATATCCTATTTTAACTATCCTGCCATCTGTGTCGCTTTTATGTTTAAAGTTTACCCCAATAAGTCTCTAGGCTCGTTGTGGTCTCTCCATGGGATCATTGCTAAACTATCTATTATATATCTAAAATACCTCTCCTCACTTATATATTCGATTTAGAATCACTGCTACTCGAAATATGATGAAGGCCTGGACATGGACTCATGGAGGCTATCCTGAAGCATTACAAAAATCGACCCTCCCTTCCACCACAGGGCTCCTCAAGCCACCACAGATACGTGTGCGAACAAGGGCTTCATCCATCAACCCTGTTGATGTTCAGTTGATGTCATACCCCTTAATATCACATCTTCCGGCCTTCCTTGTCCCGCCACACAAAGGCGTAGGTGAGGACTTTTCAGGCATCGTTGAAGAAGCCGGACCGGACTCTGGCTTCAAGATCAGTGACGAAGTCCTCGGCATCGCCCCATTCCTCCCCGGGGGTACTCTCCAAGAGACAACTAAAATCGACACTAAAGTATCTGCAGTAGTGCGGAAGCCAGCTGATTGGTCCTGGGAGCAGGCCGCTGCCCTCCCGCTGGTTTGGCTCACGGCCCGAACGACTATTGCCCGGGCAGAGTCTCGCGTGAAAAGCGGGAAGATAGTGATCTTAGGTGGTAGTTCCAGCTGCGGCATGTACGCTGTCTATCTTGCAAAACAGCGTGGTTGGACAGTGAAAGCCTCCTGCTCTGGCCGCAACGCCGATTTCGTTCGCAGCACGGGGGCAGACGACATCATCGACTATACAACTACTCATGTCCCTGAGCAAGTCAAGGCCTTCGCTCCCGATGCTATCATTGATTTTGTTGGTGGTACATAATGTCTAGGAATATCAAAGGCATACGTGACTGTCGTCGGCGACAAAACTGACCGGCTATCTCCGGGTGGTTGGTATATTTACCTATGGAATCCTCAGATGCTCCTGCGCGCCATTGCCGGGAAGATAGGTCTTGGCCAATATTATACCTGTATTAATCTTGAGTTTAGCACTTCCTTTTGAAAGGAATTACTCGATCTACCTAAGGATAAGATCGTTATTAACTCCGTATTTGGGTTTGACCAAGTCAAAGAGGCATTTGATAAGCTTAATACAGGGCGTGTAAGGGGCAAGTTAGTTGTCAATATCGCTACGTGAGGGGTTAAAGTAGTGCATAACTATTATTTATTTCTTTGGTATTGTCTAGTCTTGATAGCTGTTATAGGAGTGTTGCCTAGGTACGCGAAATTATTTAATTAGTATAACCAGTTGAGGACCAATACACTCTCTGGGCACCTTGGCCTGGCCGCTCCTAGTTGTTACTGTCAGGATTCTAGATAAGACATATAGAACAAAGACCATGTTTAGTATGTATAACAGGTAGACATAGATCCTCGTAGATAGATTAGATATCCTCGCGGAACAATGAAGTTGTTTTACTACTGTTTGGTTCCACCCCGTGACAATTACGTTTTATAGCTTGCTACATCTATTACTAGCCCTATAGCCCAATGGTAGATTTGATTATTTATATGTACAGTAGGAGAGGCCCTATAGGTTTAGGGGTTTGTAGAACTGGTGTGGTAGCGTTATATCAAATATACAACACCTGATCACTTAGAGTAGCACCAACCTAGTAGTTGAGATGGCAAACGGATTGACAAATGCCCCTGCCTGGTGAAGTCAGGAGGTAGTCTTCCTTCTTATAGTGTGCACTCGAGTTAGTATACGAGTGATCGTTTTGGGTAGATGTTAGGTCTAGGCTCGCGCAAGCTATTGATATCTCCAGTGCAATGCCATTTTGACTTCACTAAGTACTAATATCCATAAGAACATTGGTTATACACGCTAGCAAACTAACAATATCTATTGAGGCTTACTTCTAGATGGTACAAGAGAATCAATGTGTCAACTAGGGCCAAGTATTGTTTTACAATAGCCATAACTGATTTAAAATATCGCCTCCGGAGGGTAGAGAGCGCCGCCTATCTCAACTTGAATTGTCTAGTATGCCTCCTAAAAATCTATTACCCGAAAGTCACATATATACTTAGCCTGGGTGGTCCTAAAGATTCGTACTCAATAGCGTACTCTAGTCAACTTTTACTTTGCCTCTTTTTACGAGGCTATATATAATTTCTTAGATATAAAGGAGACCGAGCTATAGATAGTTGAGGCTCGTCAGGCGGTATACCTGAGCAACCGAGGATTGAAAAATATACGCGCCGTCTAAGTAGTGAGCTGCTATCAAGTGAGTTGAATGTGATTGAAATCCTTCGTCCAATGAGACATTTTCATAACTAGACGACGGCAGTTGATTCCAAGGGGTATTTTTTTTTAGCCTCACCGCGGTGAATAATTATGGAGGCATTCAGCAAGCCCATTATCATTAGTTATGAACCACCCCGGGTCTTGGCATGATTCGTTAGGTGGCTTCGTATGTATCATAGACGACTACGCGCTAGGAAAATAGAACTGTCCGAAATCTTAATGTATATAGTGTTTCCTCAAGGTGGGAGATGATACATCCGACTTGTCTGAAATATGGATGGGTATTCCGCCACGTTAAATATATGATAATAGGGAGAGATAATAGGGGGATATAACAGGGAGAAGAGACGTGGGTGCGAGGTGTATTTAGATATGTCGAAACATGCACGAATTTAGGACTGACAAGAACAGATACGCATTGGTTACCATTCGGAGAGTTTGGGTAAGACTCGTTTGGTAAGGATTAGGTTGATCTTTCTGGGCATGATCTCTGTCATTGGCTGTGGCGAGAAGCTATATAGAAGTTGAGACATGAATATAATAATACCATTGGGGAATATGATTATAATGTGGTGATAGAACTGGGCCTAGCCTTGGCCTGCGGTGCGGGATTAACAAGTCTTTATCCCGTACGCGTATCAATTTCTATTTATTGAGGCATGGAGGCATTGGCATTGGCATTGAGGCAGTTGTTGAGAAATGGAGCGACCCAACAGAAATAAGCGTTTCATATCTCTTCGTCTTACAGATTATTAAAACGACATCGTATAGGCATTCCACAATACATTCGTACTCCGTACTTATTTATGTTAGTGGCTGGCTGATAACAGTCAGCCGCCATCCTGTCATCGAACGGTGTAGCCCGATTATGGCTGCAGAATATCCGTGATAATCGAATGCCGAGAGCAGCACAATATGCGGCGAGACGAGCTGTAATCCACTCAGTCCCGCATGTGGTCAAGGAAGAGTCTTGGTTTGGATGAGACAGCAGATGAGACAATTATGTTAAATGTCTCTTATGTTCGAGTTCGAAAGGGTTAAGTTGATACGACTAGGTTAGGTAGATAGCGCTCTATTTTAACATGCCTCTTAGGGTACTCCTTAGCTAAGCCTGCTGCTAATGATAAGGCAGGTCACTAATCCTAGCCTTGTAATTGGGGATACTTCATACCCTGCATAAGGACGTGCGTGCTACATTAGTTGATTAGGACCTTGCCAAGTGGGCTAGGCGATTGGTGACCATTGGAAATAAATACCTCTTAGGGGGTGAGACATACCAGCCCACTAATACGTACCTACTATTAGGTACATGTATCCATCTAGGCTGTCGTAGGGCGTTGCCCCGCGTCCGGGCGGGCGCGGGCCGCGCGGGCGCCGCCGGGGCGCCGCGGGGCGCGGCGGGCGGGGGGGGGGCGGGCGGAGGCGGGGGCGGGCGGC